ACAACAAATGAAAAAAAATAGACATAATAGGAAGACACTGAAAGGGAAAGTTTTTTTACTTTAGTATACTTAAATACCCTTTTCCATTGTGATGTTTAGATTGAAGAACTTGTAGTCCAGTGTGTAGGATGTAGTGGCATCTAGTGGGGAAGTTGCAGATTGCAACCAACTGAGTCTCCCTCCCTTTTTCACAGGAGAACCTACCTAGAGCCAGTGTTTGTCTATTCTGGGTTACTGCAGAAACGTGGTTCGACATGGCGGACTCTGTAGAAGCTCCTTGATTGTTTGAACTTTTCTAATGCAGGATGAGTTCAAGTTTATGTCTTAATAAACTTAAAAACTAACAATTTAATTTAGTGTTCTTAACATAAATGAATAAAATGTTGAGATATAGCCCTACTGTATATATTTTTAAAGTTTTCTTACAGCCCTGGAAATCAAGAAGTCCTCACACCCCCCAATGAAGCTTTGGTTGATAGCATATATACAAATATGGATGATGATGATGATGATGATGATGTTTCATTTACATCATTCACTTGAAAGTTGACCTTTTTCGTTTGCTGCAAGAGGTCTTTAAATTCTGATTAAAGAATTTGATTATAAATGATACCTATAATTATATTTTTAGGCTATGCTGTAATATGCACATTTTCTCTAAAATACCATACTGTAAATCCTGAAATAGTGGCTGAGGATAGTGGGACCAGGTCTTTATTTTGAAGCAGGTTATACGACTGACAGATCTTTCTAATTCAAGCTGTTTATCTTTTAGTATGAAGCTTTGTCAACACTGCTGAACTGATCAGAAAACCAGACACCCTGTAGCCTGCATAATAAACACAGACCAGACATGTCCTACTTCTCTGCTGGTGTAGGCCTGTTAGGTTATGTTTAAACTGCTGTATTGTGGGTTGTGTTTTAGCAAGATACTAATCACCCACAATAGTGGAAAAAGATAGCTGTAAACAGAGCGTTGGACCCGGCTCCCGGTCTTTTACCGCCTCCAGCAGCAGCAGAATATTTTCCTCACTTAGTGCCAAATTAAAAGTTTGTTAGTTTAAGTTTGTACCATCTTAAGTCTGTTAAGAAAATGATTACTTTAAAGTCTGGTTTTTAAGTTTTATTTCTGTGATGCAACTTTCCACGAGTATCCTTTTTGTGCAGTTGCTCAAAAAACCTTCTTAAGGGATGCTGACTGTCCATTTTTCTGAATATGTTTGGAACTGCTGGCGCGCCCTGGTAGATGAGTGGTTACAGAAACCGCAACATCCATGGTTCGATACCGAGTACAATGAAGGCAAAAATAATATTTAAAAATGTTTGTGGCTGGTGAAAATGAATAAATACAAATCATCGTTTATTTTCAGGAGGTGCAGAATGGCCGTCTCTTCCGCCTGTTGGCCAAACTGGGCACCATCAACGAACGGCCAGAGTAAGTAGCAGTTTAAAGATCCACCAATATAAGTGACTTGTGGTTCTGTTACTAGTCTGTGACCTTGTGTTGTGTGGATCAGGTTTCAGAAGGACCCGACGTGGTCGGAGACGGGCGACCGCTACCTGTTGAAGCTTTTCCGGGATCACCTGTTTCACCAGGTGACAGAAGCTGGGACGCCCTGGATCGACCTCAGCCACATTGTCTCCTGCCTCAACAAAGTCAGTGAACTTTCTTCTCTCTCTTTTTCTTTAAATTACACTAATAATAGCCACAGCCATACATTTGAAAAAGTTGTCCATAATAATGAAGTCATTAGTCATAGTGGCCTATTTTTGTAACATCTGTTCATGCTTCCTATGCACTGACTAAAAACACTTGCATGCATTTGCCATCTGTTTGCAGAAAAGAGAGATTGAAAGCAGGTCTATTATTGGCCTACTTCCACCAGTGACATTTGGTATTTGGTTACCAGCTGGTTATGGGCAGGAGCAGCGGATATGCTAATATCTCAGCACTTTCAAGCTAGTTTGTTTGCCCTAAGAAAAAAAACAAACATATTATCCAACTTAACTTTGTTATAGATTTATCACGTAATTCTTTATTTTCTCATTTCTATTGTTCTTCTTTTCTCACAAAGTGTGATGCTGGTTAAAGCTGTGCCATTTTGCATTTCACAAGTCTGCACACACAACCTTTCACTTACCAGTTAAATGCGCTACATATGTTAATCTGTAGTTCTGCATGAAATCTTTCTGGCCACCTACGTACTTGCTTAAAATTAGTGCTTCAGCTAACTAATTACTTTTTTTTAATATCATTTTAAGCTGCTGATTATTTTCTTGATTAATCATTTGGTGGCAAGATGTCGGAAATTAAAATTTGTCACAGGCACAATGTGCTGAAGCCCAAGGTGATGTTACACAGAGCTCCAAGTCTTATCTGCTTAGTTCCTTTCGTCTCAGATGGATGACGTGACATTTACTTAGTGTCGTGGAAAGCTGAGGAATTCAGATTTCTGCATTCGAATGCAGGTCAAGTTTTCTACCCAAATTCCATGTGGTACCAATCCGACTTGAAACAAGACTGAGAATCTACAACGATGTTAGTGGCTCTGTCAGGATGTACACCAGCATGCTAACATATTCACAATAACAATAATATTATGTCTAGAGGAGAATGGGATTACAAGTTTTTGGTCACATAAGATAAAGAAAATTTAATCCTCACATGTGAGAAGCTTTGGAGGTTTACGACTGTTTTTGCTTAGAAAATGACTTCCATTGGTTATAAAGAGGATTGTAACGATTGACCAATCTGTTAATCAACAAATTATTGAAACTCTACTTAAAATCCTTAAAATATTCCAAGGATTTTTCTTTCAGAATCAAGCAGCCATATGTTTGCAGATGTTTGTCTGTATTTTTACTGTATCTTCTTGTGTTGACACAGCTGGACGCGGGCGTTCCTGAGAAGATCAGCCTGGTGTCTCGGGATGAAAAAAGCGTCCTGGTTGTGACCTACTCGGACCTGAAGCGCTGCTTCGACAGTACCTTCCAGGAGCTGCAGGCCGCAGCCTCCGGCTCTCTGTAGCGCCCTCTTCGGGCCCGGGGTGGGACTTCCCGGATCTGGAGCACACTATTGCACTACAGGGGAGGACCAGGCTCATGGAGATGACATCAGCATGGCGAAGGCAGCGGGGCAGGGCTTCGTGAACCTCAGTCACATACACTGACCCTGTCACACCAGGAAGGCTTTTTTCTAAAGTGTATTTTTTTTAGTTTTCCTAAACCCCGCAGCTGAAAATCATAAAACAAAAGGAAAAAAAACGCAAAAGAAAAAGGACAAATACGGAAGCTGTGATGAACGAGTATGATGACCTTTTTTTAGATTTGGGGAACAAAAACGAAAAACAAACCATGAGGTTTTGAACTTTTTTCCTGCTTTTATTGTTTATTTCTACAATTGGGGTTTATTTTTCAGAGGAGGATGCACTAAGATTTTAATTTTTTTGTTAATTTTTGTTATTTTTATTAAAATGTGTGAGTGGCCTACAGGGTGTACAGAGAGAGCTAAAGTCACACACGGACATAAATACCAGAGCAGACTTAAGAATGAAAACAAACAAAAAAAGAAATCCAGCTTTTCTATCGACTGTCTCTCTTCCAGTTGGAGACCACACCCCTTCATTGTGACGCTCTAGGAGTTGGGACACACCACTCGAGGCTTTTATTGGGGCGGGATGGCACCAGTTTCATGAAATGGGCCAGCCCACCTTTGCCTTGGTTGTTGGTTCCCCCTCAGAAAGGACAAACCACTTGGGTGGGTGGGAAGGGTTCTTAAAAACTGGAAAATATCTATGGATTTCTGACATTTTAGTTCAGGAGATTGTGGAACATCAGGCTCATATGTGTGGGTGGGTGGGCTAACGTGGACTGGGATTTTGGGGGTTAAACGTGGTTTTTGTTGGCACTGAGGAAGGGGTGTCTTCTCCTGATGCCGTCTACCAAGTGTTTGTTACGTATGCAGCAACCACCTTTGGTTAATGGACACTATCGTGACATGAACTGCTCAAGGATGGGTCATTTTGGTTTGGCTGTCTAGCACTTGGGTGTTGCCCTTGGGTGGGGCTTCTAGTGAGGTGGAGCCACAGCTGCCTCTTTGTGGAATGTCCTTATTTTGTCCCCCTCCCTCCCCACAACGTCCCCTTTCTGTCTCTCTTACTCTCCCCTCCTCTTCCTGCTTTTATCCCAAACTTCGCTCCCTCCTCAGGGGGTCTTGGCCCCTCAACATTTGAGAAAAAGTGATGCTTTTTGTGATTTTTCTAGCTGGTTTTTCTCTTTGCTCAGATTTTGTGCAGGAATGCATGGTGGGAAATGGGAGGGCAATTCATTTTTTGCCTCAATTCAACTTTATTAATCTGTGGACCAATTCCAGCAGGGGTTTAGGGAAAGGGAAAGGGGAAGGGGTGAAAGCGTGAATAGGAACAGGGCACCAACAGTTTGTTTTGTTTTTTATTTGACTTTTAAAGATCATGATATACAATGTGCTGGAGACAAAGCAGTGACGCTGGCTGTTGCACTCACTCGAATGGCTTGGATTTCTCTCAGGATGACAAACAGCTGGAGGGGCCCAATGATTGAATGTGTTTGGCTGTCATTGGCCGCCCCCTGTCCAGTCAGATAGATGAGCTACAGTGGGAGTGGGTGGGACGTCTTCAGATTGAGGTTTTAGGAAGTTGACAGCATTGTGGCGATCATGCTGTGAGGGATTTCATGTTGCCCTTAAGCACAGGTCATATCCCGTTGATGATTTAAATCTCTTGACTTAATGAATTTGGTGCAAACCTGCTTCAGCCAGATCGGTCTATAGATCAATCAAAACTCTTGTTCTTGGTTCTTTTGCCTTCATCTGGTTTTCAGTAGCTTTTTGGCGAATGTGTACAAACGTAAGACCGTAGAAAAACAAGGTCACTCGTATGAGGCAGATCAAGGTGAAAGGCATAAAACAAGAACATTGTCTTGGCTGCAGTCGGTTGTCGTGGAAGTCAATGGTCTGTACTTGTGGGCAACAAACCTGCAGGGAGCTGGCTGTGTTAGATCATGTACTACTTCCTCTGTTTTAGTGAAATGAACAGACAAAAACATATTTGGTGAATGTGGTGCTTTAGAAAATCCTCAAAACACACACAGAGACACTTCATACTCACACACGCCCCCCCCAACTCGGCCCACACGGCATCAGTGCTCATATCACGATCTCCGACATCATAACACACACTCCAGTTATTATTAGTGATGGCCATCTTCTCCTCCACATCAACACACCTACAATCACCATCTTAGTATGTTTTATGCCCCTCTTGTGTTCATTGTCTCAAATTTTGCAATATTTGTGTGTACAGCAGTATTTTAATAAAGAATACCAAAAGTGATACATGCAGGATCTGATTTTTTTTTTTTTTACATTTGGGGACATTACAATGAATTATAATGAAATTCTTCAATCATTAATTATCTTTAGAACAACTAAAAAATACAAGCACTTCTGCACTTCCTTGCTAATGTATTACACAGTGAAATGGCTGTATCATGAGGCTTAAACTGTCCTTATCCGGCCACATTTAAAACAGATAACATGTTAACAGCAGGTGTGTATAGATCTTTTAAAAAGTGGGTTAGATGCCAATACTGTTGGTTTTAGGGCTGTAAGTAATGATTGTTTTCATTAACCATTTATCTGTTGTGATTATGAATTTTGTTTTTACTGGTATTTTGACAAAAAGTTGATGTCTTCAAATGTCTTGTTTTGCCTAACTAACATATAACCAAATATAATCAATTTACTGCCACCTAAAGCAAAGAAACAGCAAATCCTCCCAATTGAGGAGCTGGAACTGGGGACCATTTGACTTTTGTCAATCGACAGACTGTTCTAATGGTTTGTGCAACAGCAATCGATGGAGGGGACACTAATGGCATATATAACACAAAACAGCAGGGATATGAGTTTGTGTCGATTCTGTTTTAAGGATAATTAATACAGAATTAAATATACACTCTTGCCAGATCATTAGGTACATCTAACTAAAACCAGCACAGTCTAATACAAACTGTCTGCAATTAATCCTGTGCATGAAGGTTATAATGTTTTTGTTGAAACCTTTTCGAGAGACGATTCAACTGTAACTGGTGATTTTGCAGGTTGTAGTTTGTATTCCACTAAGGTGTTTCTAATACCTTGTCCACCCTCAATGATACTATTGAGGTGCACCTTTCTAAAGCAATACAAATGAACATTATAACCTTTATAAAAGTTATTGCAGTGCTGTTAGACTTTGTTAGCCTTTAATTAGTTTTAGCTAGCTGTACCTAATAAATTGGCAACTGAGTGTACATTTATTCACAAAAGGTCAGATACAGACTTGATTAACAAGTCCAAATGATTACAGCATTCAAATAAATACAGATATATATTGATATACATACTATAATTCAGTGGCTAACTTTTTTTTCCAGCATATAGTAGCTGTGCAGGAGAAACAATTATTTCATACAGCAGTGTTCCTCTTCACAAAGCTCAGCACATGAGGTACCAATACAATAAGCTCTAATAGTTGTAGGTCAGTAAATACATTCTCCATAACTGCGTGTGGTAAGTACTATGAGGTAATACCTAGCTGCTCTTGGAAGGCGTTATGTGTGGTGAATGAAGATGAACAGTGAGGAGGCTTTGTTGTACGACAGCATATGGTTTTAAAGGAAAAAACATCAAGAGAGAGCGGAGGAAGAGGAGAGAAGACTACATGGAGATATAATGAGGTAGAGGATGCAAACAGCAGAGATTAAAAAGCAGTATGAGTTCCAACTCACTAAAAATCATATACCCTGTGAAAGTTGTCAAAGAGTTAGAGAAGATGCTACAGTGAGGGGTAAAGAAAAGCAGAGTTGTAGTCTGGAGGAGGGGAGCCGTCTTCGTCAGACTCCCAATCACATGGCAAGATAGATGGCTGGTCGTCATGGAGACCTGTGATGTCATTGCACAGGAAAGGCACCTGGTTGTCCCGGCACTTAGTGAAGGAGAAGAACCTAAACACCAAAAAAACATACAAATTAACTTCTTTATTATGCATTAAGTGAACATGATGCATTAATTAGTGGATTTACTGATTAATAAATGTTTTATTTTATGTTTTATGTTATTTAAAACATCTTTTTACAAAATGTCTGTATGACTTATTTAGTATTTTGCCTCATAGAACCAACAAGCCACTTCTCTTCTTTGGAGACATATCACAAGCAGTAGAGATTGTAATCTATGTATTTAACTGAAAACATTATAATGTGTGCAACATCACTGTGCGTCATGATGAGATGTCTGGGCTGTTAAGAGGCGAGTCAGAGGTTTAGAGGGAACAGATTAGATCACCACCTGCTGAGTTTCCGGTTCTTGGTGCCGTTATTCCACGTCAGATGCTTCAGCTCCTCAGATGGTAGGACCATGCCACTGTCGCTCTGCTCATCCTGAAGCAAACGTGCAGTTAATGTCATGTACCTTTAAAAGTAAAGATGCGTGTGTGTGCATGCAAGCAGAAGTGAAGGGGTTTTCCTTACGTCAGGGCTGTTTGGTTCCTCGCAAGGCAGTTCCTCAAATATCTGAAGTGTGGCCATACCCCTCATGTAACTGTATAGATTAGAGTCACAGTCAACACAAGTTGGAAATTTCTCTACTTTTTCAACCTTTCCTGTTGTTTCTGAATTTAATTTCAGTTTCTTTACACAGTCTCTCATCCCTTTCACATCTGCACTTGTCATTTTTCTCAATTCTTTTATATTCATTATACTACAGCAGTTCCTTACAGTACTTGATTACACACACATACATAACATCTTAAGTCAGGGTGCACTGGATCAGAAAACACAAGGTTTTCACTTCCTCTCTCTTGTTTCCTCACCTCAGGTTTGTGACTGCAAGGGGGTTTTCTTTAAAGGTCTCACTGCGACCAGGGTCTCCAGTCGTGAAAGATCCCAAAGGGATGTAATCCTTCCCATCCTGTTCAAGAGAAGGAAGAAACTGGGGTATTTGTAAGACTATTTGTGTCTTTGCCTTTTATGTACCTCATCCTCAGGTTGAGAAACATTAAATAATACATAAACCATAAGCCTGAAGAAGTCACATCTAAAGAAATCCTGACCTGCTGAACCCTCGCTTGCAGCAGGTCTCCGAGGGTCTCCACCAGGTTAGTGAAGGTGGGTCGATCTGAGGGACTGGCCTCCCAGCATGCCAGCATTGTGCTGTAACTGTACACACAAACATACAGTTATAGTGTTTCACTTTCAATCCAAAACACTAACAGTATCGCCACCTGGGTCACATCAGAAGACATGAAGCTTTGAACCACTCCCTTCCCCTTAAGTGAACTGTGTTTTTCTGTTTACTACATCGCCACCTCCCCTGATGATTTCAGTAACAGTGTTGAAAACAAATCCACCCACATCTCTGGTGTGCTGTATTCAGGCGCACGCATTCTTGTTCCACCCTTCAGCCTGTGGCAGAATTCTTCATCTATCTGAAGACCAGGGTACGGGGAAGCTCCTGTTAGACAAACACACACACACACACACACACACACACACTTCAGTACATCAATATGCGAACAGGATGAGAATTGAATCAACATTGTCCAAACATGGTTTTAAAAATGTAAAACCATGAGGTATTAGATCACAGTATTTGTTGCAGGGCTTCTGTATCGGATTGCATTTCTGTTATTTTGTCCACTTCTTGTTTATGCTTCGAACAAAAGCTTGGTAACACAGCTTCCTACCCAAAGAGAAGATCTCCCACAGCAGAATGCCGTAGGACCACACGTCACTCTGGGTGGTGAACACCTTGTCGAAGATGGACTCTGGAGACATCCACTTGAGAGGGAGGCGGGCCTGTCAGCCAATCAGATCACAGGAGAAGGGATTATAAAAGAGGAAACATTTAGTGTTTGGCCGGTTGAAAAGTCCTTAGGCCACAGATCCTTTTGTGATAAAATGTTTTGTGATGTTTATTGCTTAATATTTTGAGAACAAGCAACAAGTTCATGAGAGCAGAAGTTAAGAAGAAGATTCATTCAAATTAGACATGTAAATGTGATTGAATGTATCAGATTTCACTTTGTTTGATTTTATGTTCACATTATGTATAATAATAATAGATAATTGTCTGTTTCAACCACATAAATAACTACAAATTTTGTCATTTACTGAGAATTTCTTATAAAATATAATACAGTTTGTTTTGCCTGTTAAATCTTTCTAAAAGAAAGTAAAAGTTGTTTATCTTGTAAATTTACTTTACTTAGGTATAAAAATGCAAAAACTCTCATATGTTTTAATCAGAATTATTTATGACTAGCCTGACTGAGCTTATTAATTCTAAAACATGATATACTATAAAAAAAATAAATACTGTAATTAAATGCCAGAATATCTAATTTGACATATCAAGTAAAAAATGCAATTTTTCCCCTGTTGGCTTGATTCATGTTACTATCAGGTCTACTGGTTGAATGCTTTCAGTGCCAAAACACAAAGAAAAAAATGCACTGAACCCCCAAACTAAAGCTTTATTGAGATGTCATCTGTTATTTTATAAAAAAAGTAAATCTAATATTTTTCAGATGGAGGATTTTAGAACCAGATGGCTCCTGTGGACTCACATCTCCCTTGCGGACGTAGTCGGGGTCTTTGTAGATGTCTCTGGCCAGGCCGAAGTCACAGATCTTGACCACTTTATTGTCAGAAAGCAAGATGTTCCTGGCTGCCAGGTCTCGGTGAATACACTAACGTAGAAACACAGAGAGCACAAATAATGACATATATATGAAACACACATGTGTACCTGCATCCGTGCACACACACTGAGCGTCAGACCTTGCGAGAGGCCAGAAACTCCATCCCTCGCGCCACCTGGAAGCTGAAGGAGATGAGATCCTCCAGGAATAAAGGAGAGTTGGAGGCAGATTTGGGATCTAGAGGAAGACAGAGAGGGTGCACGGGGATGTAATACAGCAGTTTTATGATGCACAAACAGGTAAATGTTCACTAAGCTCCTGTCTTACCCATTTGATTCTCTTTCTCGTCTTTCTCATCAAACTCAAGACAGACACAACCTGGCCCTCCATCCTTTCCTCCGGCCAGCTGAGATAGGGTGAAATCAGTTCATTGTTAGCAAATGTTGAATGAGAAAAGGCTAATGTGTCTTCTGAAATTTTTTGAGCTATTATTAAACATGTTTTTTTCCATGAACATGACATTTGAGGCCACAGTTTTTAGTTATGTCTAAACTTGTAAAGAAATTAGAGAAGTAAACATCCTGCTTGAGAACAGATAACACATTCAGACCTCAAACAGATTGCAGAAGTTAGTTTTTGAGTGTATCATTTTGTAACTGTGTGCAGTTAGGGGGGTCATTTTGTTTTTTCTCAACTGCAAGAAGATGTGTGAACTCTGTTGGCGAGACACGGAGGTCCTGTTTTGTGTGACAAACGGCTATCGTGACACCATCTTTCATTATGCTATTATACTCACTGTGTTGTGCACAAACACCTCTCTCTTGCTCTTCAAGAACGTAGATAGATTTCCATAGCAACAGTACTCAACAATGACCATCAGTGGTCCTGCACACACAAAAAATAAACACATCTAAAAAAAAGTGTGAAGGCATTAACACAAAAAAAAATATCTACATAGCTCATAGTGTACCTAAACATGCACAAAAAAAGGCACACACACACACACACACACCTCCCGGATTGGTGCAGGCTCCCAAAAGGTTGACTACATTCAGATGATGTCCAATGTGGTTGAGGATCTTGAGTTCAGTCATCAGAGCTTTGTATTCACTGGCTGTAGCTCCCTCTAGTGGACAAAAGTCAGAAAAGAAAATGTACTAATGTTTTTGCACAATTGTGATTTTATTTTTCTCAGGATACCAGGGATCCAGTCTTGTACCTTTGAGCATCTTCACAGCCACAGTGCTGCAGCTGGTGGCGTTGTCTATACCAAACGCAGAAGCCTGCATCACCTTACCAAAGGCTCCACGGCCCAGTGGTTTCCCTGGGAAAGAGAGAGAGAGAGAGAGAGAAAGAATGTGGGTGAGACTGACAGGGAGGGAAAGGGAGGTGTGCTTTTGTGTCTAACTGAGCAACTTTATTAATTACTATTATCATCCATCCAGGACGTGAGATAAGACTTTAGACCTCAATCCCACCCTGATGATAGTGAGTGCTCATTAGTTCCAGTCAACACAGTTTACACACCCCCTGCTGGGGTTGATTAGCTCTCCACAGACAACACAGACACAAAGTCTGATTAATGGAATGAGAGTCACTCCCAATAATAATCTGATAAGACCTATGAGAAAGTCTTCGTTTCTGTTATGTGATCTTGAATACCTTCCCTCTCTCCCATCGTTAGCATAGCATTCCCATAATCCTTCACAGTTGAAGTAGATCGTGCTAAAAATACCCATTTCTTGTATCTTTTATTTTAATAAGATAAAGAAGTGTACCTAATTTGAGCCGCTCCCGGGGGAACTCCCATTGGTTGGGGTCATATTGCAGTCTCTCACACTGCTCCTCTATTGGCCCCTCTCCGGTGTCCAGAATAATTGACAGGTATTCTGGTTTGGTGTTTGAGCTGTTGGGCTTTTTTGTTGTTGTTGTATTTGTAAAATAAAAAAATAAGTTAACATTAAAACACATTCTCAGCTACAGAAAAGACAATGTACAATACTAGTGTTTGTGGTGTAGTAGTATGGTGGAGGTTGTTCTGGGACATTTCGTAATATACTAACACACACGTATTGATTTGTTGTTGTTATTTTACAACATCTGAGATCTTAAATTATGGAGCAAAAAAGTATTATATTTATGAGGAGGATATGAGTGTACTCCACTGTACACTGAACTGAAACTATATACAGTATATCCCTAATGTATCATTTTATTGTAACTGAATTGTAACTTATTCTGTTATTCTTAATACATGTCCCAGGTTATGTTAAACATGTGACACATTTAAATCTAATCTAATCTAATCCATTCAACATCCAAACGTGCGGTTGTTCTTTATAGTGTACTGATGTGTGTGTAAACATGAAAGGGACAAAGGTGGCCTGTAAGATGGGAAATAGATCTAAAAACTTGTAGTACACACTTGTCTGTACTACTGTACACTTACACTTACATACTGTAAGTATGCAGTTTGTATTGACACTGTGGCTAAAACAAACCAACATGTTCATTAAACTGCAACTGCCTAGAGAAAAGCTTGGCAACCACACATATCCACCAACAAAAACAGATTCACTTACTTTCAATAATGCAGTAAAAAAACGATGACACATGTGAAAAGGGAGACTGAGACTAAAAACCAAATTTTTTGCTGAATGGATATCATATACGTCCCACCAGTAATAGGTCGGTTGAATTATATAGTGAAGCACTTGTATACTTACAAAAGAATCCATAGAATATGTAAAGTATATTTATTTAATTAAACCAGAGAGCAACATTTATAGGATATCTCTCACCTGTTTCAGTTTGCGTATGAAGAGTGTGAGCAAAAGCCAGAATAGAGTGGCCACCACACAGGTGCAGGTGAGCGTGGGAATTTCCAGAAATGAGGCCTCTGAAGCACCTGCACATACACACAAACCACAAATACACATTGGTGCTTGATCAGTTTTAATCTTAAGAAGGCCTGCAGTGAGCTGCACAGGACTTGAATATGTTACATTTATGATCATTCATGGAAATTATAATAAATCATTTTACTTGGGTGCTTGATGCTTTGTTTTCTCCACATTTCCAAATGGGGGCACTGTGTTTTCACTGCCGCACAATCCAGAAACGATACCACCCATCCTCCTCATTAAATCCCAAGTTTATTTATTTTTATTTCTTTAATGCGAACAAGTAGAAATGTTGTCACTACAGTGCGGAGCCTCTCTGAGATGCAGGCCGGGCTCCTCCAGAGGAAATAAAAACGGGAGACAGCTTCCTTCCTGGCTGATCAGAACACAGCCACGCACACACACACACACAAACACACACACACGCAGCCACTCCTCTCTCCAGACCCGGACTAGGAAGTACATCCACCTTCTGCTAGGAAGGGTGTTCAAACTGGGGTGTGTAGCAGAACCTTCTGCCTCTTCTGCCATCACCGGACGTATGAGTGTGTGTGCGTGTGTGTGTGTGTGTGTGTGTGAATGAGGAAAACTGAACAAAAGGCTGAAAATGTCCCTCACTGGATTATCTTCAGACCTTCTTTGATCAGTGTTTACTCAGAAATTGATAAACAGACGTATCATCTTCCATTAATAGAATTAAAACACCGTTCCTCCGTGTATAAATACTACATATAAACAATGTGATATACTGTACTATATGTCTGTACATCCAGACGATACATCTATTTACAGATCTGGGAACAATAGACATTCAGACGTACCCATATAAGGAAGAGTCCTATCTTTGAGAAGAAGTAAACACTAGCCAATCAAAGGCAGAGATGCTTGGAAAATACAGATACTTACCGTTGACCCATATATAGGCAGAGCTCTCTGCAGATCCCCTCTCATTGGTGGCTTGGCACGTATACAGGCCCTGGTCCTCCCCTGTAATTCGATCAATATGGAGGGTCCCATCTTCTGGTGATATCACAATACCTGATGATGGTGGCGAAAAGTCTTAGACACGAGAATACAGCTACAGTTTGTATATTCATGTTTTTGTTTTTTTTACCTGATCCCTGAGACAGAGCACGTTCATCCTTGTACCAGGTGATGGTTGGTGTTGGGATGCCTTCAGACAGACAGCTGAGGATCACTGAGCTGCTAACGTTGACGGTGCAATCTGTCAAATTATTGAGCAGCACCGGAGGCTCCAAAACTGAAAGAAAGAAAGAAGGAGAAAAAAGTGTGCAAGTATAAGAGTGTGGCATTTTATGTAACAAAGTACATTAACTCAAGTACTGTAATTAAATATTTCTATTGTATGCCACTTTATACTTCAAATCCACTATATTTTTACTCCACTACATTTATCTCTCAGCTATAGTCACTTTCTAGATTAAGAATTAATTATAATATGATTATAATAACAGTTTATAATAAATATAAATAAATGGGCCAGAAAACCAAATTAATTAGCTAAAAGACGCTAACAGCTGCTTCAATGACATTTGCTGTTAGTGCTTCTACGTTAAGTTTGAATAGAGGACTTTTACTTTACCGTATTTCTACTTTTAGTAAAGTAAATTATTTGAAAATGTCTTCCTCCCATGCAATTTACCTAAAAAAAGATCAGTGTTTACATTTTCCCAGTGCAGTTGTAGTTATTTATAGACTCAAACAGATTTGTAATGAAATGAAACCAGGGCTATTTTTTCCCACAGTTTTCTGGACCAGTGCCACTTTTGGACAATAATTGTGCAATGTTAGTGACACAATTTTTCAGAAGAGTGGCCTCAGCTTCAACCTGTGAGTCAGCTGACATTTGGGTTCTCCTGGGCCCCCTACTCACCCTGAAATACCCGGTAACACACATTTCTAAAAAGCCACAACAATGTAGTATTTCATCATGGGGACAGTTGATGGCCTATGAGTGCACACAATAAGTTAGATGCAGATTTTTTTAGTTTCCTTCTTGTGGACTATAATTACACCACAATGGTGACACACTATAATTAGAGTCCTTGCTCCCTGAATCTCTCTAATCCCCATGTTTTAATTTTTCATCTCCATTTTTCCTTTTAGCTCCACCTCTTCTCTCTTTCTGGTCACCCTGTCTCTCTAGTAATTCCCTCGTGGAGGTCCCGAGGGAGGAAGTTGACGCGTTGGGCCCTGATTGTATAAAGAACAGCAGTAAAAGACATGAAGAAAAGTCACTTAACCAAGGCGACTGATTGTTGTTTCCCCTATCTTCCTCCATGACAACAATTGATGATTGTCCACGGGGGCTAGGGCCTGACAGTGTCTGATTGGCTGATTGTTCCTCCGGCCCTGTGTGGGGGCCTGTAAATGTGGCATTGTGGGAAGTGCCATTGTGTGCTCTTCCTCCAGACAAGAACTCATTCCCACGTGAAAGAGGTGCTGAGCTGGAGCGCAAGAGCAAAGGCAGGGTGGGGCCCCAGGAAGTCAAGGGGACCCAATTCCCAAGCAGCAAAACTCTGTGAGAGTGTGTAGGTGTTTGTTTGTTTGTATGTATGTGCAACATATGTGCACAGAAAACATGGGGAGGTCTGACGCTTTAATCTGTGTTTGAAGAGCCACAAATTCAAGGTCCTGACCACAATTTACTTGGGGCGCTGAGACAATACATATTCTTAATCTCTGGAATATGAGAGGGCCCTTGTTCTGCTCTGGGACCCCTGAGTATTGTATAGTATAGTGTTAAAATAGCAATCTATAGCGCTGCAGTATTCTACTTTAAAAATCATTTATGGGATTTGAATTCCTACTTCTAAAAATTCAGGTAAAAGAAATCAAACTACTAAAATTGGATTCATTAAATGAGGGTGCCTAAATTGAATGAAGAATTTGAACTTGAACGCCCAGACCAATCAGACTTCTGTCCTATCAGGTTACATTCTGTCAGTCATATGATCTGAGCTAAATAAGGCTGTAATTAGTGACTAGATATCACTGGACACCACCCCCTGTTTGAATCTGTAAACTTCAGGAAATAAAACTCCTATTTTTTACAAATTAAAAATGATATATATTTTCTTTTAAATAAAACCCTTAAATTTCAACATTGTAGTGTTAGATGTTAGAAATGTAATTGCTTATAAAAATTGAAATGATTATGGCCCTTCGTTGGTTCCATAGTTTAATTGTTATTTGTTGTTATTTTTTTATTTTGTTGATCTTGCCTGATGTTTTGAGATGTTTTTAATTGTGATGCACTTTGTAACTTTTGTTTGGAAAAGTGCATTATTAAAAAAATCTATATGTACTTGCTCACTTATTTCTTGTAGCAAAAAAGCTAAAAAAAAAAAAGGCAACCGGCTAAAAACACAATAAAAAACAATCTGTTAAAATCTATTAATTATTTAAAGTGTCCCCCAAAATAAACAATAATAATTATAGATGTTGAAGAGAAAGGTGATGCTCCTTAATTTACGACCACTCACTTGTGACCACCACCTGTGTGTCCAGGTGTGTCTCCTGTCCGGTGATGAGGTGGCGGGCGGAGCATCTGTAGGCTCCGGAGTCTCTGGCCGTCAGGTTGCTTAGCAACAGGACCAGAGAGATGGAGAGCTCTCCTGATGCAAGCCGCTGACCGATCAGGACAGGGCTGTGGGGATGGGCGTCCTCTGTTTCGTTCACCCGTTGCCACGACAACGCAGTGTACAGGTACTTATTGGCTACACAAGTGAGATGAAGGTCTCCACCCTCTCTCGGTTCCTCCCCCTGGCTCACACTGAAGCCTCCTGGGACGTCTGGGAGGAGGGAGGGGAGGGGAGGGGAGGAGGGGGGAACCAGAGAAGAGATGGATTGATGGGGAAGGAGAGGTGAGGGAGAGGGAACATGAACAAAATATAAACCTTTACTGATCTCCTGCTTGATGAATGAGCCCTCTCAGTTTCTCGACATGTGAACTGCAGATCCTGTCAGGTGCCTGAAACCAGGAGAGCTGATTCGACCGATCTTCCACTTTTGTAACCTTTGACGACAATGTTGAATGGCTATTGTGGGTAAAAGCAGCTAGTGGAATACAGTGAAAAGGCTTTTTATTTACTTTAGCCATTTGAAACTTCCCGTGGAAACGGCTCGAGAGTTTCCTGATGGCAGATAGTGTTTATCTTTCCCGAACACCCCAAGGCCTCCCGAAATAAAGCGGACCTGCCAGTCCAAGGAAGTGCGCTGCACGGGGAAATGGAACGATAAGAGCCCCAGGTTCCTGTTTCGCTCTTGCTCACACACTAAGAGCTCGGCACAGCCTTACGCACAGACACATACACACTCATGCACACACTCACACAAAAAATTAGACACAAAATAACCTTAACCTGTATTCCTAATAACAAATCTAACCTCACACCACGCACAAAAACTACAGTATGTATCCAAAGCACGTAGACTTCTCTGCTCTGCCAAGTATTTTTACCTACATCAATGTGTGTATTACTTCTTCAGTGACACATGCACGTTCATAAATGTGCATTTTAGAGTATGTAAAATATCTGTTCTTGTAGTACTTGTGTCTGTATAGTACTGATTGTCACTGAAAATGCTCAAATTTGTTACCATATAGCACAATTGTTTTTTTTCCAAATAGCCTTTAAGACATTTTAAAATTAGATTTCTTAAAAATATAAAACAAAGTAAACACACTTTGATTTGTGACATATTGGTGTACTGAAGCAGCTGCTGCACCATCACTCCTGGTCCAGGTCCTTTCTAAACTCCAGTTTGAGCTCTGATATCTGTTGTTCTGGAGCATAACCCTCTTTCTACAGCAGTGTGTCAGTGCACGTCTCTGACACTGCGTCTCCTCGACCTGAACACAGCAGTAACACCTCCATATACAGTCTACAGCAGCGGTGTAGTGCAGGTACCTATTTTTCAGTCTGCATCGGGTATAACCACTTCATATTGTTTTTTCCTAGGAAGCCAAAGACATGACAAACAAGTGGATTGAGTGTTGTTTGCAAAATCTGTTCTGTTAATTTCATGTTTATTTTGCCAGTACTGCCTCCAACATAGGAAAGAAGGCAGTGGGTTAAATCCTATAAATATTGTAAAATTCTAACTAAAGGCTACAAGTAAATCTCTGTGCATGAGTAAGTGTATGAGTATGTGGTGTGAAAGCAAATCACAAGATAAATGCTGTGAGTCATAAGAAACAGTTAGTTTCTAGTTTCAGTCTGACATTAAAATGTTTTGGGGTGGTTCTGACGTTCATCCTTTCTATGAGTTTCAGGTTGACAAAGATGATAAAAACTAAGATTAAAGGATAAAATATAAGTACAAAAATGTTTTTGCCAAACCAACAATGACAAAGCATGTAGTGGATCAGCTGATATCAGCCTAATCAATCAGGACTGGGAGTAAAGTTATAGACACTAGTTACAAATTACTTAGTTAGACGTTTCAGGGGAGTGAAACTTCTAACTGTAATTTCATATGTAAGCTATTTACACAAAAAATTCCCCAGAAGTGGACAAGAACAAATAACGCCCATCTGAGGAGATGATTCAACTTTTTTTTGTTTTTTTGGGATCACCTGTGACGTAGAAGTGAAGGTCTAGCTGGTCTGTGCCTGCAGAGTTGGAGGCAATGCAGCGATACACTCCGGACACAAAGGCCTCTGCCACAGTCAGGACACCCACCGTCTATGGAAGCACAAACATCCGCATGAGCAACCCGGCACTTAACACACCATGGAAAACAGGCGCACACACACACACACATTTTCATGTTAGGTTCAGGCCCGTTACCTCTGCCACTAATGGCAGGAATCGTATTTTCCATGGGCCCACTAAGCAGACAATAGGGGTCTCTGAGCCAGACCTCCTGCCTACTTCCAACCCAGTGGGCAGCTCAACATGCAAGCTGTCGATAAGTGTTAATATAGGTGTGAGTGTGTGTGTGTGTGTGTGTGTGTGTGTGTGTGTGAGAGAAGTGGCCAAAGAAGGAAAGTAAAAACAAAAAGTGATATGATCCTGTGAATGCAATATTTCTTTAGCTCTGCAAACTGTACAGTGAAGCTTCCTTTAATTGTAACATATCTAATCAGATTGGTGCATTTTTGGTCAATTTTCCTCAAAGAATCTGCTGATACATTCAATTCAAATGCTTTTCCAGGACAAACTGTAGTTAATGTACCTTTTAGCTCATTCATATCATGATGCTTTTTGTGTTTGTAACCACAATTTCAACTGCATAGGGTCACTAAGAATCCTGTTACTACCCCAAAGTAGCTCTTCTTTCAGTCACGGTGTGTATTTCAGTGCTTCACCTACCTTCTTCTTCCCCTGGAGCACTTCCTGTCTGTGCGTAACACTCAGGATGTGGTTGCTTGTGGACGTGGCGGGGACTCTTTCTGTCACAGGGCTCCATAGCAAGGAGGATGTTGGACACACACACCTTGAAGAAGGGAGAGGAAGAGGAGGAGGACGAGGAGAGGGACAGGGACTCAGCTGTGTTGACACAAGTCATTTTATGCTCTCTCCAGGTGTGTGTGTGTGTGTGTATGTGTGGGTGTTTTTCTCAGCTGTGCTCGGCAGGAGGAAGACCAGAACATCAGGGACAATGTTTGATCATCGCTGCTTGATGTTATCTTCAACCTAATTCACATAATCACCATCACCAAACAATTTTTATCAATAGCATCACGTCCTCTTACCCTACCCTGTCCTGCTGGCTGACAATAGTGGATCTTTGGAGTGCTATGTAATGCTGGATTGTTCATCTATTGAGGATGCAGAGGTGGTATTGTCATCCCGTGGATCAACTTCCTTCCATTCTTAACAAATCATCCACACATTTCCAGGACAAGAGTTCCTGTCCCTCACAAGTCTAAATCCATAGATTACACACCAGTGGGACTGTGGGAACTGGAGTGTAGTCAAGCTGCTTTGTGGTTTATTTATGCATAACTCCCTATGATGAAAAGCTCTGAAATCTTACAGGAGGTGGAGAAAAACACACAATGTTGGATCAATTAGTTTTAGAGTTGAGGGAAAAGATGTATCAGAGGAGTTGAAATGTGCAATCTATATTTCATCTGCTGCTTCATGTCTCCTAATGAAAGATTTGAATAATATTTATTTATCTGTATCAAATATGATGATAAATATAATGTAATGGACATGTTGCCAGTAACATCAACAGTAAGGAACAAGTAATGTTTGCTTATAAATAAAAGTTAATCTTAAATGTGTTGAGTGCAAGCACTATTAGTTGCATGAAAAGGAATTCGTTTTTGTTATGATATATTGTATAAAATAAAGGAACCAAAACAGTTATATTTTTAGTATATTTTACTGTTTTAAACCATTTAAGAAATATTTTATATGTTTTACTTTGTATAATAACTTTGGTTAATTCATTGTTGTTTCAAGTTGAAATTAGGCCTTGCTGCAGCCAATGATACGTTTTTTATTATTATTTATTAATATATTCATTCTTTTTTCAATTAATTGGTTTATATAGTTAATAAAATAGAGGAAAATGAAGTTGATATACTATAACGCTAGCTAACTGTTATAAACTTGATTGTCTCAGCTCCAGCTAGTTAAACTACTTTGGGAAAGGAGGAATAGGAACAGTTTCTTTGGGAAACACACTTAGTCGGTTTCTTGTCCAAATTTAGATGAGAAGATTGTGTGTCTGTACTGACTTACTAAAGCTAAATAAATATATATACTAGCTAAATATGTAGCCAGCCATTGCTAGCTTAGCCGGTTGCCTAGCAACCTCTCAGTCAGGGAACAAGCACTGAGTCCAGACAAGAAGTAATCCCTCCCATACAGCCACAACTTGTTATGTTTACATAATTTGTAGATACTTCAGTTAAATTAAAACAAGGAGGTATAAAATGTTAAGCTGTGAGCTTTAGAGATGCTGATAGGCAGCATATATTTATACCTTTGGACAGAGCCAGGCAGGGTAGCTGTTTAAAGTAAGATAAGAGTCTCCAACCTGTAGCTTCATATCTAATTGACAAATATGAGCAGTAGTAATAAAATATTATTTTATGAATACCTGAGAGAGACTTAAGTAAAAATGCATGTTGGATTAAACTTAAGTCATTGTCATAAAGAAGTCACATCCAGTTGGTTTGGTGATTATGAGGATTATGTAAATTATTTTGTTCTTACTTGCTTACATCTGATTGTATTAATGGAATAGCCATTTAATTATTGACATTAGCTGCCATCCTCGTTGTAAACTATCATTTCCACTCTGTTCAACGATCCTGTTTATGGATGTGTCAGTGCCCCTCTCTACTCCCTGTCTCTGTCTGTATCCTTGTCGTCATCCTTTTTTTGTCTGTCCTGAGCTCCTCCCTGAGATTGGTTCCTCTGCTGCCTGATTGCTCTTCCTCTTGGCATCTAGTGCACGACTGCACAAGTGACCCACCCTGTGCATGACACCACAGCCCTCACACACACACACACACACACACACACACACACACACACACCACACACACAACACACACACACACACAGACACCACACACACACCACACACACACAAACACACACACACCAGATTAACACCAGCCAAACACTCCACAGCTTCCAGGAAACGCTTTCTTTCTCAAAATTGCACTTTACACACACAAATATGATTAGTGAAGATGGGTGTGTTGGACACCAAACGTGGTTAGAACAAAGCCAGAAAATTTGAACACGAACATACATTGCACACGTCATGGTACACCCAGAGCACCATTCAGCACAGTGTGTGGCCTGCGCAACAGGGGGTGAGCAGGCAGCTGCCTGGAAATATGAAGTGAACCCTGTTCAGGTGTGTATCAGTGCGTCCTCTCCCTGCCCCTTTTTTCTTCCCTGTCCCTGCTTAAAATAAGCACCTTTTAGCCGCTGTCCCTGTCAGTTCGCTGTCCTCAACGCCCAAAAATAAGCCACAAAGCCATATAAAGCCAAAGTACACCAAAATAATAAGCAAAGTTTAATGGGGGCAAAAAAAACAAAAAAGAAAACACGCAACACTGATAATAAGCACTTCAATAAACATCTTAAGCAGATTCATACCCCAAAAGTTGGGGCCAAATATTGTCATTCGTCATATGGTAAGTTAGCTTGTTATAAATGTATTAAATATTAGATTGCATAAATATAATTAGCTCATGAGAGCATCCCTGTATACCAAGCGAATGAATCACCATTGGGAGACACCCGTAGAATGAGACAGCACCACCCACACACAGCCACAACCACACACCAGCACCACAGCAAGGTTCCTACCCACAAGTACGAAGCACATTCTCCGACACCCGTTGGCTGTACACACACACCCCCACCACACACCAGGAAATGGAAACTTATGGCCAGCTCCCCATTCTCCCCCCCTAACAAATGGCTTGTAGTCATACATACGTTTAGATTTTAATTAACTTTCAATACAAAGAGCAACAGGGGGGCTGTTATAACCTAAACATATTTGAAGCAAGCCCAAGACATTTTGACATGGGATCGACATAAAATATGAGCAGAGGCAGTCATAGTCCTCTGGTCCTGTGGCGACTTCCCCTACCATGGTAGGTGTCTGGCTGACCAATCAGTCCTTTTCAATAGAGAAGCTTTAGGCATCCCATAGTGTAACAACACAAACTTGTCCTCTCCTCCTGTTTCGCCCGTCAACAAGGTGAAGCAGCATTTTTTTACGCTTCCCTCCAGTGGCCCTTAAAAATCGAACAGAAACCTCAACAGCTTTTGTGGAATGTCAGAA